CAAATGCCAAGGAATGCCTACAATAGACCTTCCAGTCTTTTAATTAACACTTACTAAAGTAAGAGACATTATCATACTTACAATGAATAGTGATGATGTAGACTGAAGACTAGTCATAGTTTGATAATTACACAGGAATACTTAAGACATAATTCTAAGTTAACCATGATTTTTCTTCAAAGCTTAGTATGTAATATCACAAAAATGGAAACATCTTTATATTTAGGTAAAAAGGTACTAAACAAACTTCATCTCACCTAGATACTGTAAATTTCAAAGACAAACTTTGGGAGGCTCCATACTACATACTTTGTCAGTCATACAACAGTTTCATCTGGTAAACTAGGATCATAGCTATACTTCAAGGAGTAATAAAAAAAGTGACTAGGAACTGTTTAGTCCTTTCCTTTGTTCTGACTCTAATCTCTCCTCTATTCTTTTGTTTTTCTCCAGAACTGGGAGAATTGTTCTAATGAAGGGTACCTCAGCACGAAGTTAAGGAACTCATACAATATCAGGTGCAAATGCACATACACTGAAAGAAAGTCCATAAAATTGCAATGATTTATAAGTATTACAGAATAAATGGAAGTTTGCATTCTATTCCAAAATATTAACTGCAGAAGTACCAGTGATCCCTATGAGGAGTGTTAGCATATGCCTAAAATGTACCTATCAATGTTTTGCTAATAAATAAAGATGATAGATAGATAGATAGATAGATAGATGGATGGAAAGAAAGAAGTACTGGGACTCCATAGTCTTCTCAATTAACTTTAAGACATTTGAATCTGTATAATCAAATAAAAATAGGGGGTAAAAAGCGTAAGAAAGAAGAAGGGTACAGAGAAATCCAGAGCTTTTATTAAATTTTTAAATCAAAACATCTCACTGTTTCCAAATTAAATGAATCTACCACAAGGAGTTCCACAACTATGATGTTTGTTCCCTTTAATCTTTCAGTGGTATGATATGTTAACCATAAATATGCCAGGGCTGGGGATTTAGCTCAGCAGCAGCACTGTGCCTGCTTCCAACCACAAGGTCCTGAGTTCAATCCCTGGTACCAAAAAATAAAAATAAAAAATAAACATGCCAAAGATAAATGAAAAATAATAAGGCAGTCCAGAGATCTGTGAATTGATGCCTCTTAATTTCAATATTTTTATAAATGAGGTAGGTATGAACAGATTTATTGAAACTGAAAAGATTCAAACAGAGTGCAGGAATTTCCTATGTATGGAAAAATTACAAACACGATATACACATACGTTAATTTATAACTATTTCCACTCTAATTCCTTTATTAAAAGTATTCTCTTTCCAACACCAGGAAACAACATCCAAGACAGCTCTCAGACTTTCAAAATAATGAGTCTAGGTACTTCAGTCTCCATGAAGCACGTAGTTCTACTAAAAAATAGTTCATATTTAAAGACAAAAATAGCTCAAATTTCTAAGTTTTTTATTACAAAATACATTCCTATTCCAAGACACATAAGACTGTTCAATTTTATTGTTATATCACCAAAACACTTTATAATTGATAATCCCTTGGCCTTCCTTCTAAAAAAATGCTCATTTATAAATCAAGTAAAAAACTAATATATTACCACAGAAGTCCAGTTTTAAAGCAAAACTTTTATTTGTATAAATTCATTAGATCTCCTTTCTTCAGGTGCCCAAATGTAATTTACTTATCTGGACTGATGACAAAGATAATTTACTGCTCATTCATAACATTACTTTGAATAATCTCATATCATTAAATTACCATAGTTTGTAGAGTCTCTTTTCCCATTTACAAACACCCTACAATATTTTGGTGTATATATATATATAT